ATATTTATCTGTGATTATACATTACCAGTTAAATGATCTACCACCATCACCTTCTTCATTACATTCGGACGCGCGATGACCAGGTTTATTGCATTTATAACTGCGTACATATAATGGTTACGAAAATGTTATAAAAATTAAAGAAATAAATTATATATCTATATTTATCTGTGATTATACATTACCAGTTAAATGATCTACCACCATCACCTTCTTCATTACATTCGGACGCGCGATAACCAGGTTGATTGTAATTGTAGCTGCGTACATATAAAAATCATTAAAATATCGCAAAATTTTTAAAAAGTATATATGGGGTTGAGTCAATAGAAATCAAGCAAATTTTTTTCTAATTTTTTTAAAAATTTTGAATAACAATAACTTAACAACAACTTAATCAGATTTAATAAAAAAATTTTTAAATAAATTCTACAAACTTATAGAATTTATTTAAAAAAATTTTTATTAAATTTGATCAATTTATTAGCATTTAAAGTTTTAAAAATTCAATAAAAACAATTTGCTTGATTTCTATCAACTCATCCCATATATATCTGTGATTATACGTTACCAGTTAAATGAATTACCACCAGGTGTCGGTTGGGGGACCTCCTGAATAACCCAAGTTGTCCATTTTTGTGGTAAAAGCTTTATGTGCGCCAGATCAATCGGATCTGTTTGAACCTCTTTATTACACATATTCGCGGAAGAAACCTTATCCATTGATACAGCTTGTTCTCGCCGTACTCCTAAACAAATGAATTGATTTAGAACCAAAAATTTATGGTTAAACAATATAAATCATTTATATACCTAAAAAATCGGAATCATTATCATAATTATGATCTTTTGGAGGTTGTGGACGAGGTACTTTTGGAGATGTTTTAATATTATTATAACTTGGATCCCACGTATCATCATCATCAGTTTTATTGGCATTAGCACTCCATGTTTTGGGGATATCCTTCCTTGGTCCCCACGGGTCTTCCTCTCTATTTGATGGATTTGTATTATAAGCAGGTGCTCTCGTTTGGTCAATAGGCCATGAAGCTTCTCCCCAAGTAGTCGACATTACTGTTAAAAGAACAATATTTTATTACATATTTTGATCATAAAATACGAAGGCTCAAAAAGAAAAAAAAAAATTCGCGATAACACTAGTTCATAAAAAACCAAAACGCGAGTAGGCCCTTATACCACGATCCTTTTTCAAACGACAATTTCAATAAATTTGATTTTTTTTCGAATTTAAGTTTTCTTACCTCTTATTCAATTATTCAGTACTCTTTAACGCGATTAACTGTTGGTAAAAAAAAAAAAAAAGGAAAGATAGATTTTTTACAAGTTTTGTCGTTATGCGATTTGTAATATATATATATATATAAATATATAATATATACGAATGATATGACGGTGATATATGACGCAACTATATCACCCAAGCCACGAAAAAAAGATTTTTGAGTATCACATGTCACCTATGAAACAGGTTCTTTTTAGAATCAGAACCGGTTCCAATACAGGAACTATGTTCGAAGTGGTTTTCATATCAATGTACCGTACGTACGTATATGGGCAGCAAAAAAAAAACTTGACTCATGAATAGGGGCGTATAAGATTTAGTTGACTAAATCGACTAAACATAGTAATTTACATATCGATATAATTTTTTAGTTGACTAAATAGATTCCTATCCCTACTCATGAAACATTGTAGTTAAATCTTGGGTTTTCTACGTAGCGATACATATGCCAATGTCCCTTAATTTGTTAAATTAAGTTATTTATAGCGATAGCGATAGAAAATCATTACCAACTCCATCCTGATATTGCCATCTTTATAAGGTACATTATTTTGTTCCTTACCGTTATAAAGTACGTATTCATATTTTATATGTTACGATTCTTGTAGTTTTTTAAATAGCTTAATTTTTGAGGCAAAATTATTTTTAGGGATAAACTTCGGTTTAGATTATGTTACTCTAAAAATAACGTCATTACATATGTTTTTTTAGATTTAAGCCAATGTCTTTTTTTTTGGTTTTTTTACGGTGAAACGAATTTGAATTTATAGTATACCTCTAGAATCCTGCAGAGACATTTAGTTAGATTAGCATTAGCTTTAGATATCGCTATTGTATAACTTCATTAAAAATTCTGTACCGGGCCTATTCAGCGTATTTGGCCCGGAAATTTGGCAGTAATGTTAAGTAGTTCATGTTAAGTTTGATGTGAACTTTAATTACTTGTCTTCAACTTGGTCTGGACTAAGTTCAAACTTAGTTCAGACTGAATTTCAGCTAGATCAGTTCTATTTTTGTATTAACTAAACTGGGCGAACTAATTAACATTGGAAACTCCCTATACAAATAAGTTTCTATACAAATAAGTTTTAGGTTGATGACACAAGAAAACATTTAGGCATGCCTCTCTTATCATGCCCTCCATAGACATACAATAAAATAAGCCGACTATCTAATCGTTTTTCTACACCAAATTAGTATTTATAAAAAGTTTATTAGATTTTTATAAATCTACACAGTATACAAATAGTAATTTTTTTAAAAAATATAGGAACTTAACTAATTTTAACCAGTGGTGATTTCACCACCCTTTATGTTATTTCATTTTTATTAAAATTTAGGGTTAGGGTACAATCTTAGATACAATATAAAGGTTAGATGTAAAGGTCCAAATTTTAGTTAGGGTTATGTTTTGGGGACCCTGAACATTTTTACTTAGTACCCTAACATGGCTTAGCTAATAGGTTTTTGAGACTCAAAATATAGATATTAATAAAAATTATATATATATATTACAAAAAAACCTCCTAATATAATATATATTTAAAATTTGATTTATTATTATAAGATATATTATAAAAAGTTTTTATATGTATAAGCACAACTCTTCATAGGCATTTTTTTTAAAAAAATAAACAATTTTTTTTTGTTGTAATTATAAAGAAGCTTGGCTGTATAGAAATATAAGTATGTATTTTAAAATTTACTAGTGTACAACCCGCGTGTAGTAACATTAATCAAAGTACCAGAAATTTGTCAAAGCATACAAATGTTAAAATATTTGTATTGGTATTAAAATAATTATTCTTATTAAAAATTACATTCCTGATCGGATGTTATTGTTACAAATGGAAACTGAATTTAGGTAGATTTGGAATTTCTTAATAAAATTATATTTTGGGATATGATTTATTTTATATGAACCTACACCCCAACCCTAAAAATCTTAAAAAAATCCAAATCCATTTAAATTTCATTTACAATATTATTAATAAAAAAAATTGATTGGATCATTTGTCAATATGACTTACTAATGATAATATTGTTATATAGCATGTGGCCAGCTAATCAAATCACAATTTTATTATCTTTGGAGTTTAAATGTTATACAATTCGGATATCTTTGGAATTCAAAAATAAATTCAAATTTTGTTAATTTACTAATAATTATATTAGATAATTATATTAAATAATTATAAACAATTTAATTAGAGCACTTAGCTAACACCTTAGGTTACACAGAATAAAATATTAACCAATCAAATTTTTATTTATTAAAAATTTAATAATTTAGTTTATTTTGTGTAATTAAATTATGCAATTTGATTGGTCTTTAATATATATTATTGTCTCTATTATACATTCAAATAAATGAGTCGAGCATAATTAATACAAAAGTTTTTAAATATATCTTTATAAAATCCAATAAACTTTATACTACTAAAGATTGTAAGATAGTAAATATTTTGAGATACTTAGTTTCGAAAATTGTTCTTCCTACTTATTTTAACCACCACATAAAGGTGTATCTCATCAGTTAGAAAGGTAACCATAGGAAATGGTTCTCAATGCTGAAGTACACCCAATTATACGACCGTGTTTTTATTAATAAGCAAGTCGAAAGCACTCCGAATCATACCCCAACCATTCTCTTCTGCATCCCTGTACAGAAGCCGGTTGTTCTTCCCCAAAAAATTTCTTTAGATTCTTCTATCATGCTTTTTCTTACTATAGTTCGTTTACATATATTTTACTTCACAGGTTTTTTAATCGTTTAATTTAAGAAGGACATAACAGGTTCCTTATACAGAACCAGTAGACCTTATTTCGGGAGAAAAAACCCTCCAGATATCAAAAAGGATTACAAAACTAACTAAGCGCGAAAACAAAAACGTCTAATTTTCACCCACCTGTTCTAGCATTTTGATTGGCTGTACTATGTAAACAATATGTGACGGTCCTTTTTAAAATTTGATATTTTCTGTAATTAAACTTAATAAAAATTTTTTATCTTAATACTGCAAACTTGTAGAATTGAAATAAAAAATATTTGACCGAGTTTGACCTAGTAGTTATTGAGAAAATTTTATTCAAAGTTTTAAAAAATTCAAATGAAAATTTCTCGGTAACTACTGAATCGAATTCGATAAAAATTTTTTATATTTTAATTCTATATTTCTATAGAATTAAAATAAAAAAATTATCGAATTCAGATAGGTAATTGTTGAGAAATATTGAAAGGTAAAAAAAAATTTAACCACAGCTTTTTTTTTATTGATGCCTAAATTTTGAACGAAGATTACTCGGCACTTACCTTGTCGATTTCGATCAAAATTTTTTTATTTTAATTCTATAATCTCATAGAATTAAAATAAAAATTTTTTAACTGAATTTGATTCGGTAAGTGCTGAGTAATTTTCGTTCAAAGTTTTGGTATCTATAAAGAAAAGCTGCGGCTAAATTTTTCTTTTTTTATCAATATTTCTCAACAACTACCTATCCGAATTCGATAAATTTTTTATTTATTTTAATTCTACAAATCTGTAGAATTAAAATAAAAAATTTTCATCGAATTCAGATTGATGGTTGTTAAGAAATCATCGTTTAAAATTTAAATAAAAAATTTATTTTTTAAAAATTTTCTCGAACTTGATTCAGTAGTTACCGAGAAATTTTCAAACCATGATCGTAGTCATATTCTCCATGATTTTCATGATTTTTGATGTTTTTTAAAAAAAAAATTCGAATGAAATTTTCTCAATAATTACTAGGTCAAGCTCAGTGAAACTATTTCGTTTCAATTCTACAAGTTTGTAGAATTAAGATAAAAATTTTTTATCAAGTTTAATCACATGGTCGTTGAGAAACCCTCGCTAGAAGATATAAAAAATATCAAATTTTAAAAGGACCGTCACATATTGTTTACATAACAACCAATCAAAATGCTAGAAAAGGTGGGTGAAAATTAGTAAATGTCAAAGACGTCAAGTTACGCATGCCATGCCATGCCCAATTTAAATTGTTTTGATGATTACGTTATACGCCTGATCATTATCAACCAATCAATCTGTATAATGTAAATCATATTCTTTTCCAAGTAAGATCGACAAAAATGCATTTCTTCACACAATAAAACCTTACATTAGGAGCAGCTTATATGCCAAAAGGTTTGCAAGGAATTTATTAGAGTGCAGGTGTTATCGACGGTTTAAAAAAGTATGTTTAAACCAATTTGACTATCTTTTAATTTTATTAATTCGCCGTGATGTCACTAACGCCAGTGAAAATATGTAAAGGGCCAATGATTTCTGCGATGATAACTGATGATAACTGTCGATTCCATCCGTTTTTCGAATTATTTCGGACACCAAATAAAATTATAGCTCGTGTTCATTTATTTTCTTAACTATCAAAATTACAAGCCTGTGATATTTTCGTGCTACTTCTCTATGCGACAATTCCGTGCTATCCCTGATATAATCTGATTCCATGAAAAATAAATAGTTTATTCAGTAGATTTTGGTAGAGATAATTTCTAAGATTCTTTTATAAGCTTCGTATTAAAATTATAAAATCTTGGCAAACAAAACTAACGTTAAAAAAAATTAACAGAATTATAACTAATGCTAATCCAAGATTAATTCGTTTGATATTTGATCCTATCAGGACTTTAACCATTTTTCACAAAACATAACGATAATAAATTATCTTAAAATTAGGAACTGTATCTGTACTATACGAAACAAATTCTGCTTTTTTTTCTATTTAAAATTCTAACTTTTGCAACTTACAAATACGTAGATTAAAGAAATTTACTGCTAAAATTAAAGTTAAAATATTTTTGAAAGTTACGTACGTTATGATATCGTACAATCCATATCTGATATAAATTATAAAGTTGTTACAATAGATGCATACGATCTTATCTCGTGTAAGCTTATAACAACTGCGGATATTAGATCTATGCGACCAATAACAACTTTTTAATGAATTCATACACCTTAACCAGTTCTAAAGATCCTCTAATGCTAAAAACTCAACTTGACACTGCCTTGGGTAACAACAAGGTGCAATATTGGAAGGCTGTTCAAAGTTTCATAAAAGGAGAATTAAATAGGATGGAACTTGATTTTTTGGCGAATTTGTTTTTACCAAGAGAGCACGGCAAGTATTTATGCCGCAACCTAAATATAACTATGTTTAAATCTCACGCATTTTCTACGTAAACATTAGCACAACTTCATGATGACTTTATTCGAGTCAGTATTAACAGTAATAAACAAAAATCCAATTGTCACGTAATAAGAGATATACAGAAAAAAACTTGTGAGGCTTTGAATGAAAAAAATGATATCGTACCACATTACAGATTAAAGGGGATACTATCGTCGATGGAAAAAGAAGACAGAAATCTATTACATCACTTTTTAAAGGTGGGTCCATCATTTGATAGAAAGGTTTAGAGTTGTTGTAAAGTTATGAAATTATCATAATCATTTGATAGAGTGTGAAAAATAGTCGAAATTCTAACGAAAAAGGCTTGATACAAAAAAGTTCATGTTGTTCAGAAAGTATTACAGAAGAATCAATAAGCCAAAAAGAATTTCTTGATTATGAAAATGTTTATATACGTATGACAGAAATTGCATTCAATCATGGATTATTTGGTGGAGTGCAAGAGGATTGCGTGTCTTTAATGATCTTCGCACTCGAGGTGAGTTTTTCTTTTATTGTAAAAGTATCTCAATAAGGTTAATCAAACAGAGAGAATAACATTTATTTATTTACTTTTGTACAAGTTTTATATGAAAAATATCTTGCATAATTGCATTAATCGAATTCGAGAAAATAATGTATGTCATGATGACTATGATGAAAATCACCTTACATCAATTACGTTAAGAGATCTTGCATTTTCTTTAAGCATTTCACCTTTGACCGTGTCTCCATTAGTTGAGGAAAAGATTAATGCAAAATTAAGTCATGATGAGATGAATTTTGATAATAAAATTTAAATGAAATTTTTTTTTTTTATCGTACAAAATAAATTTGAATAATTAATAATTTATTATTTCTTATGGCGTATATTCATTAATACTACATGTCAAACTTTCAGGCTCGGGTCTCGGAGATATTACATGAACTTTTATACCGTTCTTCTCAAGATAGTCTCCTGTAGTTTTTCCAATACATGCAATCTTTACGGTCTTCCATAAGTCCAATTTCATTAAATTTTCCAATGCTACATCTACACCACTTGGACTAAAGAATACAATCCAATCTATTTGTCTATTTTTTTTGACAATATTCTCCAATTCAGTGGAAAAGTTTCCATAAGGTCTTGTTTCATAGACTAATAATTCTTCCAGTTTTATTCCAGCTTCTGATAATCGTGTTGGAAGCTTATCCAGACGTTTATCACCCGTTAGAAATAAGAGGGGCAATGCGGTTGGATTACTCTCACCATGAAATTGAATAATATATTCTGCAAGAGATTCTGAATTGCCCGATTTTAATCCCAATGTATTAAGATTCAGATCATCTGCTGCTTTTGCTGTTGCTTTGCCTACCACAAAAAATGGTAAACTTTTCCATAAAGTTTTTTCTCTGCCAAAAGAACCTGCTTCATTATGATGATGATCAGTGGATCGATAATTGCCATTTTTTAAATTGATTTATAGCAGATGATTTATTACCTTCAGTAACATCGTTGAACGAATTGTTCCAAGCAAGCTTTAACCCTTTAACAGCTTTTTGGCTAGTTGCAATAAATCCCCAATACTTTTTTTCGGGTCCATGTGTTAGTATTTTTGATAATTCTTCTACATTAACAAAAACATGTGATAATACCGGTAAAAAAATACTGGTATATGAAAGTGTGGCTAATTTAATTTCATACTCGTCTGAAAATTGTTGTGTACTATCATTTATGTCATAAGTTGTACTTTGGTGAATTTTAATTGGTTCGAATGAGGCTTTATCTTTTAACAGCAGAACTGTTCCTTTAGACATGAAGGTGTGTGGAAACTGAATCACAGAATTTATATTCAAGTATGACAGAAAGTTATATTATTGGCTGCAAACATGCAATATGCAGATCCTGGCTTATTAAACAGTATAAATGGGCAAGTTGACCCGTCGCGTTGTTTCAAATTTAGAATTGTAAATGTAAAGACATTACGGGTGCTGAAAAGTTTATCAAGATTAATTTTTTGATAATAGTAATTTTAAGATAAAATAGCTTCATAATAAATAATTTTTTTTTAAAAAAAATTTTCTATAGATATATTCTTTTAAGTATAAAGAATAAATTTATAGAAATATTAATTTTATTATTCTTAGTTATTTGGTTTTAAAAAAAATTAAAGATTTTCTAATGGTATTAGATGTCGAGCACTGTATATAAACAGGAGGGAACGTACCCGATCCAAAGTGAGTCCCACACACGACGTGATCAATTAGTTTTCATTGATCACACCATGTGTGGGATTCACTTTGGATCGGGTACGTTTCCTCCTGTTCTCTGATTGGTCAATCACTTTCAATTGTACTTATCCAGTTTAAAGTATTTTTTAAGAATGTAACATTTTTAAACCTGTCTCTATCTTCGAAGAAGCGCTAACAGTCACTATGCAAAATAATCCCAAATAATTCCGCACCTAAAGGTACCTTACTTAGAAGGTGAAATTTATACGTATACTGCAACTATAGAACTATATGTAATTACTAAATCGTTAAATATAGCTGGGTTATTTAAAGAAAACTAACAGTACATGTGTCTTTTAAAAATAGATAAAGCGATTTCTAAGCTCTGTTAAAGAGGTTTAAAATGTAAAGAACATTAATCTATAAGAATAGAGTTAATAATGAGTGTATAGAGTTTATCGAGTTTTATCATAATGCAGTAATGAGTTTTGAGTATGATATTACATTAGTTTAGTATAAAAGGTGTGATAGGCATTTAAAAAATACATATGTGAGCAGTTATTAATAGAAATAAGGCAGATTGACATTTGAAAAAAAAATTCACTTTAACTTTTATAATTTATATTTTGATGAATTTTAATAATTAAAAATTTAAAAAAAAAGCTTAGATTATAAGTTTTTTTGAATATTAAATAATCAAGATAGCATCAAGACCATCAAGATAAGAGTTATGAAAGTTAGGTTTTTTTTTAAATATTAATTTGTTTTATTTTTATTAATAACTGCTTATATATATATATTTTTTGTTAAAGTGAAAAGCAATTAAGTTTATAAATATAATATAATTAAATTAATTAATTGTTACATGTTCTACAATAAGCTAATAACAACAATTTTATATAATAACCAATTATAAGAAAGTTATCTATATACTATATAGAATAATGTTTTTGTAATTAATCATTATATAAAATTAAATAGCATGTTATTATTGGCTTATTATATAATTTGTAAAAATTAATTAATCTAATTATATCATATTTGTATATTTAATTATACTTATTACTTATATAAGAATAAAAAAAATAAATATATATGTATTTTTAAATATTTATTATATCTTTTATACTAAACTAATATAAGTATTACAAAAAAATTTAAATTTAGAAATTATAATTTATTATATTAAAAATTTAGTTATTAAAAAATATTGATTATTAGTAAAATTTATATACAAAATATTGTAAAAAATTTTATATAGCAAAAATCTTTTAAAATAAATATGATTAATATAAAATTATTTTAAAATAAAAATATTTACAATATTGTAAAATAATAAAAAAGTTTTAAAAGAATTTTAATAATATTACAATAAATCAAAAATATATAAATAATTTTAATACTATTTAAATATTTTAAAAATGTATTAAAAAAATAAAATTATTAATAACTTTTTTTGCTAATTATTAAAACACAAAAACTTGCAAAAACAAAATTAAAGTTTATAAAAAAACTAATATTAAAATTATATTTAATGACTTAATAAACTAGAAAAAATTTCTAAAATAGACTTAACAGATATATTAGTAAAAAAAAATAAATTAAACAATAAATAAAAAAAAGACAAATTTGCTAAACAAGTTTTAAAAAATAAAATTTTGAAAAAATAGTATAAATTTGAAATTACAGATTAGTTTAAAATATATAAATATATAAAAAGACAAATAAACAAGCATGTAAAAATATAGACAAAATAAGCATATAAGCATTATAAAGTACATATAATTATAAATAAAATAAAAAAAATAACACAAAACATAACTAAATAATAACACAGATGAAGTCAAAAGAGTAAATAATATTAAAACTGATAAATAGAAAAGTAAAATTAGAACTAAAACTTATAAGCAGCAAAAAATTTGAGCAAAAACTAAAAAATAAAGACAACTATTTTAATATCAAAAATATAGTAATAGCAATATTATAAAAACCAAATTTAATAAAAATAATAATACTAAGAAAAATATATAAACTAATAATTAAAGTATATATAAAAAATTTGACAAATATAAACAAATAAGCAAAAGAGATAAGCACATAAGTTAACATTTATTACTAGTACAAAATATAATAAGTAAAAAAAATTAAATAATATTAAAAAAAAGAAATTATCATATTAGAAATGTATATAAAAAAAATAAGAAAAAAAACTAAAGCAGTAAATATAATAATAAATAAGAAAGAACTATAACAAAATATAAGTTTAAAAAAAAAGTAAAGAAGTATAGTTATAAAAATAGTAAATATAATAATTAAGATAGCAACAATAAACAACTATATAAAAAAAAATTAAACTACAAAGATATAATTATAACAATTATTATTTTAGTATAACTTATTTTGACTTATTTTGCTAATTACCAAAATATAAAAATTTGCAAAAACAAACCAAAGTTTATAAAAAAACTAATGCTAAAACAATATTTAAAGGCTTAATAAAACAGAAAAAGCTTCTAAAATAAATTTAACAAGTGTACTAATAGAAAAAAAAACTAAATAGCAAGTAGAAAAGTAATAAACTTGATAAATAAGTATTGAAAAACAAAATTTTAGAAAAATAATATAGATCTGAAATTACAGATCTGTTTGAAACATATAAGTATATAAAGTAACAAATAAACAAATATATACAAATATAGACAAGACAAATATATAAGTATTACAGAGTGTATATAATTGTAAACAAACTATGAAAAGTAACACAGAATATAGTCAAATAATAACACAAATAAAAATAAAAGAGTTAATAACTCTGAAATTGATAAATAAAAGAACTAAAGCTTACAAGAGAAGTGAAAAAAGAAAAACAACTCTCCCCGACGATCACTTGTACCGAATTTCACACCAACAAAAACGGAAAACTTATTGGAGAAAGTAGAAGAG